AAATATAAATAGATAAACACACCCACACAAACGCACAGAAAAAAGGTACACGCACACACACAAAGACACACACACACTCACACACACATACACACAAACACTCACACACTCACACATCTATATATATATATATACGGATATATATTTATCTATATATATACATATGTATATAAATATATGTATATATGTATATATATGTATATATATATATATATATATATATATAATAATATATATATAATAAATAACACACACACACACACACACACACACACACATTTATATATATATGTACATAAATGTATATAAATGTATAAATGTATATAAATAGACACACACACACATATATATATAAATATATATATATATATACGTACTTGCATATATATCTATAGGTATTCAGGCGCTTGTAGTGTGCAACGTGCACATATTTGCAACTGATTTAACTTTTTGGTTCCCTATCTCAATGTCGGGTTTCAGAGCGACATCGACTTGAATATTTACTTGTGGGATCGTCAGTTGTATGCTAAGTTTGTTCGATATTGGATACTGAAGTGTGGCCACTAAGCAGGCAGTGCTAGATAAATATTTACTTGACACTGATTGGTCTTCATTTGTCGAGATATAGTTGTTGGTTGTGTAGAGTAATCTGACAAGACAGTATAATCAGTTTGTTATTCACACTAGTGTCGCATCCACGTGCGTGTTTTCCTATTCAAATAGGAGAGAGAGTTGCCCAGTACCATAGAAATTGAGAGTTCGACGGTCAAATTAGAGGAGAAGGGTGTGCAACTAGAGGTGACCATCATCGATACGCCAGGTACTGTGTAAACAAGTGTAAAATATATTGGCATGACGATATGATTGGTTCAGAGAGTGTCATAGTTGTGGATAACATGTCATTTATTTGGACTGAACGCGAGCTACCACGGAAGTGAGCCACACAAGCGTGTAGATGTGCATGGTGAATTTTGGTTTCGATACATGGTTTAGGTTATGGAACATGGGCGCACGAGGGCAATATACTTGCTGGTCTGTAACACTCACAAATACTTCGTGGCTTGTTTCGACGATTCTTCATCTACTTTAGTCCGGTTCACTGTATTCTTGAATCATATTTTTCACCAACGATTTTATACGCATAGTGCTGTGATACAATTCATACCGAGTATAGTATGCTGCCTGCCAATTTCATAAAGCGCCTCAAGGTTCTTACCGCCAAACACCTGCTTGTAAATAGATTATATGTTCCCGAGTTGTAGCGTTTGTTATCAGTTTCGTTACTATGCCAAGGTTGTCATTAATCATTTAAAGCTTGCATGATTGCTTTGAACACACGTGCGGGGATCGCTTGATCGGGAAAGATATAGCTACCAACTTACTTGATGGATTGTTAAGGGCATGGAATGAGGGTGTCCATACGCCACATATTACGCCACATATGTTGAAGCGAGTTATTGCTCAGGTCAACTTCGTGTATTTGGTACTCTACACAGCCACCCATAAATGCACGTAAATTTTCCGCACAAAAGGCATACGCTATCGCGTTAGTAAGTGCCATAACCGTGATGTAGCATCCAGGAGCTTTGCTAGAGGTGAAATCAATTATTAGCACTACATGCGGCTACTTTGGCATATGCGTGTTTGGTTTAAATGCAATGTCAGAGCAGATATACCTTGAAGATATTGCTAATATGCCAAACTTGTATTGATATTGATGCACCATGTTCTTTTATTCTTCTGCTGTGGTGCGTCTTTGAATATACACATATAGTATCGAAACTAACGAGTTGATAGAGAATAGTGATAATGTCACATTGGTTGTGTTCAATTAGTGTGCACTACTGAAACCTCAACAACGAATGATCATTTGGGTTGAGCATATGATCTACTGACTCAGTATCGGAAGTATTAATATGTCAACCATCTGATTATTCCCTACTGATCGCAAATTCAACACAGGGTACGGGGGCCAGGTCAATAACACTGACTTAGTTGAACGCATCGTGAATGAAGTGCACGCGCGAAACAGGTGTGAAAATTAGTGCAGACACCCGTGCGTTACCTTACCGAACACAAGATGCTCCGTCAATTGTCAATATTGCTGCGACTGAATTGATTCGAGCAGGTTGAGGATTCTTGCCTCACTTCACTAACTTGTTTACTCGCCCTCAATTTATCAGTGCACACTTGGAAAATGAGGGTCGTGTGATCCGCTCAGTAAAGCCAAAAGACCCCAGAGTGCACGCTTGTATATACATGGTCCAGCCAGATCCACACGGTTTGCAGCGGATTGACCTGGAATTCCTGTTAAAAATGCACAAAATTGTCAATGTCGTTATTGGCATCGCAAAGGTAAGGATTTTTTAATTCTTGTCACGTATCCATGTGTATACCACAATGAATCCACTGGTATTATGCGTGCGCTAATCAATGCCCAAAATTCCAAAATTGTAATATCCCGTGCAAGCTAGCTAAAAGTTGCACTAAATTGAGTTATTGAGTTTGTGGTTTGAGCCGATTTGTCCCGGTTTAAACTTGTACGCGGTTGTTTTTCAACATATGCGCACTCACATTTGACGTTGTTCACTCATAGGCTGACACGCTCACCGCTGGTGAAATTTCTGCCGTGAAAGCGGCCATCAGTGCCGACATACAGAGACATGATATCGAACTCTACACCCCAGAAGCTGACTTTGATACAAATATGGAGATTGATACTCAAACAGCGACTGATGGCCAGGTACGTCTTTTCTAAAATAACTGATTCGAGAAGACGATCTCGCCAATGTCTCATAAATGATTGTATCGTTTATTTCAATTCTTGTGATGATTCATCTAGAACTACATATTCACAACAGACGAGTTCAGTCTTCTCTGTCTTTTCGTCAACGAAAAGGGTTAAAGTCGATGGAAATCTCATGCTCGGACGAGAATATCCCTGGGGTAGTATTACTATCACCAACGAGAAGATCAGTGATTTCACCAAACTGAGGAATATGCTAGTGTGCTCACACATGCTAGATCTAATCGACCGTACGAATTTGCTATATGAACAGTTCAGGTAAGCTGACAGAAACTTTCGCACACTTTTTACCATCCTACAAAAGACAAATTACCTAGGGCAATACGGGCAGCTGTGTGTAGTATTGCCAGTCATACAGTTACTTCTATGTTTCTGCGTACATTGTGTAGGACGGATGAATTGTTGAAGCTCGGTCTCACGAATACTACGAGTTTGATGAATGAATTCAAGATCAAGGATGATAAATTGCAAGAACAGCTGAAGGCTATTGAGGTACATACAATCGATTTGATGGTATACTGCATAAGTAACCAAATGCTTTCAGAAATGGCACTTTTGGAAGTAGTTTTTACGAGCGGATATTTCTACTGGGGTTCAGCCATTTAAGAAGCCTCGACTTTCAATATATGCATACGATAGATAGGTAGTGTTCATGTATTCATGATATCGTGTTTTTACTCCCAGGATATGTCACAGAAATTAATATGCAAGGTTGAGAACGACGCTGCCGCCCAATACGAAGATGCCTACAAGCTATATGAAGACAACCAAAGAGTATGTAATTCTTTGATAGTTATGCTCCGTCTCCGTATTGTAGTGTGACTCATCACAGAGCACTGTGAAAATCATTCACCTTTCTTCATATTTCAACCCTACAGGATTTACTTGCGCGTTTGACCAAAGAGAAAGAGAAAATGCAAGCCTACGAAGTTTTAACCAAGGCTCCTATGAGGGTAGCACGGACTGGATAATCTATTCCGCGCATATTATTATAACTCGGATTTCAAATCAGTTCTTAAGGGAATCTCGATGAACAAATATATAGAATGAACGGCGAATGGAAAGAGTGACTGGGCTGTCATGTTTGGAAGGAACATCAAACAGCTTAACAAAAAAACCAAATTATTTGTGTACAAGGTGCCATACAGTAAGATGTCAGTGTTCCGCCAATTCGTGCACGGATAGTGCATGACTCGAATGTTTGTGGCATTATATCACCTTTGTTCACTACCAATAAAATTAAGAGCAGCAAATTGGATGGTCGAGTATTTTTTAAGTAATTACCAGTCAAATTGAAATTATGGGACAGCCAAGGCCAACCACACAATGTGTAATGGCATGTACTAAATGTCACACAAACATAGAGACCTGCGCAGAAATTCTGATAGTCATATAAGCCCGACTTCACAGTTTTAAGGTCAGGTGCAGTCGTGGAAAAAACCGGCGTTCCTAAACTACAGGGTCCGAATACATCAAAAGAACGTCACAAAAGCGACACACACTCACAACTTTGCGTAAAAAAGACTTGGCAGAGTACATAGTTTAGACGAATTCATTACTTGTAAACTAGAAAAGATACTAGTATATGGACTAATCAGTGGCAATATAAACACTCTAGTACCCAAGTTGTTCGAGACTCAATAGAACAGTATGCATCCACGCTATTCGGTATTCTCAACTAGAGCCAAGGGCCTACCCCATTCCCATGGTGGAGGGTATGGTGCGTTAGGCCGGCAAACAAGCCCTAATCCTTTAATCAGATGTAGTGCAGTGACATATGCACGCCTCAATGTAAAGTGCCAAGCAAGTACCGAGATATATGCATACTGTCATGATTGCGATAATCCAAAGACAGAGAGCAAGAAGAGTGTTAAAGCCTTTTCTGTGGGGTATCATATACCTTATTCTATAAGTTAGATTCCGCCATAGGGCGGTAAGTGATCTGGTCAACACACACGTCTGCCGGACTGTCTATGCAATGCACAATCATCGCTGCCGCTGACTTTGGGGTCATGTACTGTGGTCTGCCTTCCAGGCGAATGTTCGTATCTGTAAGTGTACAATTTGTATACAAACAATAGTTTTTCAGATATATGCAGAAGCTTGCCATACTTAGGTGTTCGAAGCTACACCCAGAGATAGCATGCGACGTGCAACTATTTGCCAAGGATTGAAGGTGCGTCTGCTTAAATAGAGCAATACTTCAAGTTGACGCCTGGCGTGCTCGAGCAGGCAAGGTACCTTGCATATCGTCAACATCGCCAAATGGACAGACTTTATGAGAAAGCAAAACAAACATATAAGCCCCAGCGTATTGACATCACCTCGCACCACAATTTAAACCATTCGCGCACACTCGACCGGAGTTTATCCTATCACAGGAAGATACATTCGTACAACCTAGTGCCTTCGGAAATCGTTGCAATAATCTGCGCTCCTGTATATGTCGCTTAACACAAGCGAGGGCAGTGCCCTACCTGTTCCTCCAGGGTACGCAGCAGTTACTTTCACGCCCGCCTTTCTTCCTTCTTTGGCCAGGGATCCCGTTAAACCATCCAACGCATATTTACTGGCAGAGTATACACCTACAGAGTGAATTGGATCAATCGTAAGATAATGGCAGGTTTGACAAATTTGACGGGAGTAGGCGAATATGGTAATATGAGCATGTTAAAGTTACCTTTAGTGAACACGTAAAGCGAGAATCTCCAGCTACCAATATTGAATTCAAATGCAAGACTACGAATAATCACTGAAATAGCGTGGTGCCGCCAGTTGGCATTATATTTACAAGTCATTAGCGTCCTAACAGCTACTATAGCACACAAGGTGTATACGTGTCCCCAGTTCCGCTACACACACACATGATATACCAAAGTTCTCCTGCTTGGTGAGAGCGACGGTGGACACAACGTTCAGGATGTGTCCTTCTCCTCGGCTAGTCATATCCTTCATAGCCTCACGACACAGGATGAAGGGGGCTCTCACATTGATGACAATTAGCAGGTCAAAGTTCTCGATGGTTTCATCGCAGATCTTTGTTTTGACGTTATTGTTGGAGAATCCAGCATTATTGACCAATACGTCGGCCTTTCCCATTTTAGCTATAGCATCTCTGTGTACAATCAATGTCGAGGTTTCAGCGCGTTAGTATTGCTTGACTCATTTCTCAAGTCGATAAACGAAGTCAAGGATACGGTAGTCAACACGGGAATATCTTAGACACTATTGGTAGTCATATATTACTGATATACATGCATCATTGGTAGTCATATACTGCTTATAGTCATACATTATTGGTAGTCATATATTGCTATTAGTCATATATTATTGATAATCATGTACTGCTGGTAGTCATATATTATTGGTAGTCATATACTGCTCATAGTAATATATTATTGGTAATCCCATAGCAGTATACTATTGATAATCATGCACTGCTGGTAGTCATATATTATTGGTAGTCATGTACTGCTAATAGCCATATATTATTGGTAGTCATATACTGCTCATAGTCACTATATTATTGATAATCATGTACTGATGGTAGTCATATATTATTGATAGTCACATACTGCT